AGATCTATCAGCCTTTTCCTTAGGCTGAATAATTTTCTCTAAGTGGATTCTTCAAACTCTTGCTTACAGGAGTAATAGAGACTAGAGGGGTAATGGAGCTGGAAAGTCATCCCATTTCATATGCAGCCCTGTTATTCTCTGTCCAAGGCCACCTCTGTGAACCACAGTTCATCTTCTCCAGGGAGTAAACCTCCCATATTCTGCCAGATGAGAAAGGGCAGTCTCTGGCTGTGCAGAGTTGAAGAAAGGATCTGGAGACATAACTGCTAACTGCATCCCTTCTTTTCAAATCCCCCTCTAGCCGTCAGAAATGTCTGTCATATCCAATTCCTGAGTCTCTGGGGGCTTCTGGCTAGACTGCATTCTTCAGCTCTCACCACCCCCACCCACCTCATGCGGGAGGCTGGGTCTCAGCTTCACCCAGCTTGCTCTGTCAGTTGCCATTACCATCCTCTTTCCATCTTCCAAAATTTTGTACATGTCTCTCTTCCCTGTGATCACTGCCTAACCTGTTGTGGGTTTTTTTCCTTCTAAGTTGCCATTCTCTTTATTCCTTTGCTATCATTTTAACAGGGTTTCAGGAAGGTTCACATATAAATGGTGTATGTTCAGGCCATCATGTTATATTACACAGCAATATCGGGCTATGGGTTCCTCCCTGAGTACGCCAAATCATACCTAACCAAGTGTGCTCCTTCTGTTCTCCTGCCTGGTCCACCCTTATCCCTCTCCCAATTTCAATTTTCCTTTATTTTTTTTCTTTTTGAGACAGAGTCTCACCTGTCACCCAGGCTGGAGTGCAGTGGCATGATCTCAGCTCACTGCAACCTCCACCTACCAGTTTCAAGCCATTCTCCTGCCTCAGCCTCCCAAGTAGCTGGGACCACAGGCGTGCACCACCATGCTCCGCTTCTGTTTTTGTATATTTCAGTAGAGATGGGGTTTCATCACATTGGCCAGGCTAGTCTTGAACTCCTGACCTCAGGCGATCTGCCCACCTTGGTCTCCCAAAGGGCTGGGATTACAGGCGTGAGCCACTGTGCTCAGCCCCCTCATCTTCAATTTTCTATCCCTTAATGGTCCTTCAGGCATTACTTCAAACAAGAAACTTTCTCAGACCCTCCCTGCACGTGCTGTGTGAATCTCTAGCCGGCATGTACCTTGTGCTGAACTGATCTGCTTGTATATCTGTCTTCCTCCCTAGACAAGAAGTAAGTAGGCAAGGAGTATCCAATGGTCTATCTCCAGCGTGAAGAAAACTATCTGGCGCATAATAAGTGCTCAATAATACTTGTTCAACCAGCTCATTTCCAGTAACGTCGTTGTGGAGGCATTTTCATTCTTAGAGAAGTACAAAAAATAAGGCCATGTTTATTTGCCAATGTCCTAATAAGAAAGGCTAATGAGAGAGCATCAGGAAATAAAAACAGACAGACGTTTTGGAGAGCCAAAGTCAGGGACACAAAATAGCTTCCAGCAGGGGTGATGTATATTTTCCTAGTAATTCTAAGTGAGTATATGCTTATTCAGTAGAGAGAGATTTAACAGGTTTCTCAGCTAATGCTGCAGATTTACATCCATTTAAGATAATTTTCCTTATCTCGAATCTATTTTTCTCAGTAACCAAGACACTTAACTGATTTGTACAAAATTCATTTGAGAAAGAAATAATCTACTTCAGGCAAGGACACACTCTAAATAGAGACACTACAAATCTAATAGAAAATGGAGAATCTGTTTGAGAATCGGAGGTGGAGTTCTGCCTGGAACATAGGGGCTTTCTCTCCAGCATCTTGACACTATGTCCAACCTCTTTTGTCTGTTTTACAAGCAGAAAATAAGTAATTCTTAAATCTGAGAGCACAAAACAAAGAACTCTCGTAATCCAACCAAGATGCACACAAATAGTTTTTAGACAGTGTCTCACTCTCTTCCTCAGGCTGGAATGCAGTGGTGCCATGACGGCTTACTGCAGCCTCGACCTCCCAGGCTCACGTGACCCTCAGCCTCAGGAGTACCTAGGACTATAGGCATGTACCACCACCATACCTGGCTAATTTTTATATTTTTTGTAGAGACAACGCTTTGCCATGTTGCCCAGGCTGATGGGCTCAAGTGATCTGCCCAAAGCGACTGGCTTCCCAAAGTGCTAGGATTATAGATGTGAGCCACTGTACTCAGACCCATTTTTTTTTTTTTTTTTTTTTTTTTTTT